AACCACGAACAAGTGGTATTTAATCAAAAACAACACTGCGACTAGCCGAGAATTCGAATCCGTGTTGTTTTAGCCCGCCTCATGGTGAGCGAAAATTACACGACGCTCTAACCCACGGGACCATACAATCCTACAAGAATCACGCACCCAGCAGGACTAGGTGTTGTACCGTGATCCGAGGACATACGATGGTGTGGGAAGCACACAATTGGCAAGACACATTGCCGATTTTCTAAGAGGGAATATGGTTGACAACCACAACACGGTTTTAAACTGAGAAGAGATTGTTTTTATAAACTTATCCAGGGAGATGTTAAAAAAGAGAAGAGTAATATTAAACCAACTTATTTTTTATGAAGACTTGTAGATATAAGAACATAAGAAAGAAGGAACACTGCAACAGGCATACTGACCCATGCGAAGCAGGTCCATGTCCCCCCCCCCGGATAAGCCCAATGACCCACCTAGTCAGGTCACTTCCACTTAAGGAAGGAGCACGGCATCGGACTTAGTAGCACAAGCTAGTCAGGACCAACTCACACCCACCCACACCCACTCATGTATTTATCTAACCTATTTTTAAAACTACACAACGTTTTAGCCTCTATACCTGTACTCGGGAGTTTGTTCCACTCATCAACAACTCTATTACCAAACCAGTGGTTTCCTATATCCTTCCTGAATCTGAATTTTTCCAACTTGAAACCATTGCTGCGAGTCTTGTCTTGGCCGGAAATTTTCAGCACGCTATTTATATCCTCTTTATTTATTCCTGTTTTCCGTTTATAAACCTCGATCATATCCCTCCTAATTCTACGCCTTGACATGACTCACGAAATCGTAATGACACGACTGCAAACAAACCATACCACGGGTGGGGTTTGATCCCGCGGTCAGAGAGTCTCAAAACTCCAGACCGTCTGTAAAAACTTGCATTTGTGGTCACAGTGGTGCCTATGCTAACCTTCCTATGGTGTAGAAATATACCTAGTTGGATAAATCTTATTGAAGCTAGCTGGTCCAGTGGCTAACGCGACGGTCTGGAGTTTCGAGACTCTCTGACCGCGGGATCGAACCCCACCAGTGGTATGGTTTGTTTGCAATCGTGTCATTACGATTTCGTGAGTCATGTTGATGGCTTTGAGGGGACTTGAGCTAGAGTTCGTCACGGCCATGCTAGCGGGAGATTCGTCTGTAAAAACTTGCATTTGTGGTCACAGTGGTGCCTGTGCTAACCTTCCTATGGTGTAGAAATATACCTAGTTGGATGAATCTTATTGAAGTTAGCTGGTCCAGTAGCTAACGCGACGGTCTGGAGTTTCGAGACTCTCTGACCGCGGGATCAAACCCCACCAATGGTATGGTTTATTCTACGCCTTTCTAGAGAGTGCAGATTCAGGCCCTCAGTCTATCCCCATAGGGAAGATTTCTGATACATGGGATCAACTTTGTCATCCTCCTCTGTACGTTGTCCAGTGCATTTATATCCATTCTGTAATACGGTGACCAAAACTGTGCAGCATAATCTAAATGAGGCCTAACCAAGGATATATAGAGTTGAAGAACAACCTGAGGACTTCTATTATTTATACTTCTAGATATGAAGCCAAGGATTCTGTTAGCTTTATTGCGGAGCAATAATGGTCACAATGAGGTGCATAACTAAACTGACGCCAGATTGTTAGGTAAGAGGACACAAGTGCATCTGATGCCACATATTACTGTGGCAACGTTTCGCTCTCCAGGAGCTTTGTCAAGCCGTTACGTAACGGCTTGACGTGTGTCCTTTTACCTAACATATTGTCAGTAATTCTACCAGCGTTATTACAAAGATGACAAAGTTGATCGTAACGGCTTGACAAAGCTCCTGGAGAGCGAAACGTTGCCACAATAAATTGTGGTAATCTTACCAACATTATTACAATAATATATAAATGGTTAAAACTATGACCACATTTTTTTAAAGGGTGGATCGGTAAGCCAGCGGAAGGTCTTGGTCAGATGACCAAAAGTTTTAGATAAAAACCTGCTTCAGGAAGCACTTGTCCTGTTTCCTGACAGATGTTATTTAACCTCACCTGGTAGATCATCATAGTGTCTTTTAGAGAGCAAAAATACACACTACCGTGATTTTGTAAATAGATCAAATCGGACCGAAACGTCGTCCTAAGCTTCCCTCCTGTGTGCGAAACATCGTCCTAAGCTTCCCTCTCCTATGTGCGAAACATCGTCCTAAGCTTCCCTCTCCTATGTGCGAAACATCGTCCTAAGCTTCCCTCTCCTATGTGCGAAACATCGTCCTAAGCTTCCCTCTCCTATGTGCGAAACATCATCCTAAGCTTCCCTCTCCTATGTGCGAAACATCGTCCTCAGCTTCCCTCTCCTATGTGCGAAACATCGTCCTAAGCTCCCCTCTTCTTTGTGCGAAACATCATCCTAAGCTTTCCTCTCCTATATGCGAAACATCGTCCTAAGATTCCCTCTCCTATGTGCGAAACATCATCCTAAGCTTCCCTCTCCTATATGCGAAACATCGTCCTAAGATTCCCTCTCCTATGTGCGAAACATCGTCCTAAGCTTCCCTCTCCTTTGTGTGAAACATCGTTCTAAGCTTCCCTCTCCTGTGTGCGAAACATCGTCCTAAGCTTCCCTCTCCTATGTGCGAAACATCGTCCTCAGCTTCACTCTCCTGTGTGCGAAACATCGTTCTAAGCTCCCCTCTCCTGTGTGCGAAACATCGTCCTAAGCTTCCCTCTCCTATGTGCGAAACATCATCCTAAGCTTCCCTCTCCTATGTGCGAAACATCGTCCTAAGCTTCCCTCTCCTATGTGCGAAACATCATCCTAAGCTTCCCTCTCCTATGTGCGAAACATCGTCCTCAGCTTCCCTCTCCTATGTGCGAAACATCATCCTAAGCTTCCCTCTCCTATGTGCGAAACATCGTCCTCAGCTTCCCTCTCCTATGTGCGAAACATCGTTCTAAGCTTCCCTCTTCTTTGTGCGAAACATCATCCTAAGCTTTCCTCTCCTATATGCGAAACATCGTCCTAAGATTCCCTCTCCTATGTGCGAAACATCATCCTAAGCTTCCCTCTCTTATGTGCGAAACATCTTCCTAAGCTTCCCTCTCCTTTGTGTGAAACATCGTTCTAAGCTTCCCTCTCCTGTGTGCGAAACATCGTCCTAAGCTTCCCTCTCCTATGTGCGAAACATCGTCCTCAGCTTCACTCTCCTGTGTGCGAAACATCGCTCTAAGCTCCCCTCTCTTGTGTGCGAAACATCGTCCTAAGCTTCCCTCTCCTATGTGCGAAACATCATCCTAAGCTTCCCTCTCCTATGTGCGAAACATCGTCCTCAGCTTCCCTCTTCTATGTGCGAAACATCGTCCTAAGCTTCCCTCTCCTATGTGCGAAACATCATCCTAAGCTTCCCTCTCCTTGTCATGTAGGGGGGTAATGATTAGGGGAATATGGGGGTAAGCGGAGGGAGTCAGTAGGCAGGGGACAGGCAGGCGAGGTGGTAGGAGAGATGATTAGCGGAGGTAGGTAGGTAATGTGAGGTCACTGGTGACTACATCTTCACCTCTCATTACTCTACACTCCACACTACTCACCCTCTCACTGCTTTAACTAAACATAATAAAATATAAGAAATAGGAATAGTAAATAACGGGGACAGTGAATATTACTATTCTACTCAAACACAGTTTATTATTAAGTCTTTGTACAATAATATATTTGGGAACAGGAGTACATTATTGGGGTTTAGATAAATGGGGTGGTACACATAAGCAGTGAGACAGGGAATACAATTAGCTTGGCGAAACAGAATATAACTTACAATATAGTTCAGAGGACAGTTCATCACAGGAACTAAGCCACAGGTCCCAAGACCTACACAGCACGAGTACTGCGCCAAGCCAGTACTCTGCCCAGTGCCTCCAACAGTCTCCTCCAGAGACTTCAGGAGCCTTCTCCCGAGCCCTGCACCCCAGCAGCAGCAGCAGCTCTCGAAGTCTCTGCTCGGAGCTCTGCACCCAGGCCAGTGCTCCGCACAAATCTCCTGATCATGAACGAACGAACGAAAGTTCAGGTAAGATCCCAAATGGGATGAGCGGGGAAGACGGGACAGACGAAGAATAGTGCTGGAGAGGAGTGTTCTTAGTTGTAGAAATAGAGCCAGGGCTTAACCCAGCAGCTAAGTCGATCGTGGGACAGGCATTGAGAACACACATAGCAGGCTCTTCTGTTGGGACTCCGGTGGGTGAGTGGGGAAGTGTGGACAGACGATGAACAGTCGTGAGAAGGTCTTGAGTTGTAGATGAAAGAGCCAGGGCTAAACCCAGCTGCGTGGCACTGCGAGGCAGTGTAGAGAGGGCATGTTGAGGACATAGAGGAGAGAGCAGACTGCAGACAGTGCTCGCCGACTGATATGCTACAGGCTGAGGTGAAGAGCTGGTTTGGACGTCAGGTGTTGGGAAGGGTGTTGTGTGTTTGGCTACACTTCGCTGGTGATGGAGCCACTCTTCAGTGGCTGCACCTCTCCTGCCAACGGTTTATAAGCTCCTTCTCAGCACGTATGCCGTATTCTATTCAAGATTGATGGACTGACCACATCGACTCAAGGTTGAGGGACTGATTACCTCATTCTCCTCCTGTTCTTCAAGATTCTCCTTTGTATGGACTGATGAAGCCACTGCGTGGCGAAACGTTTCCTCAATAAAGATACCCAAGAGTTGCACATGTGTCTAATTTATCAACATGACTAAGACTACTCTGGACTCAAAGTATAGTTTACCTTAGCTGTCAGAGGCTAAGTCTACACTGAAGTAATTCCTCCCTTAGAAAATGACTAAATCTTTACCAGACAGAATTCAGATGAAACATGCTCTCAGAAACACACACACACACACACACACACACACACACACACACACACACACACACACACACACACACACACACACACACACACACACGCACACACACACACTACTTACCAGTCTGCCCACTTCGTTGTTGTGAAGGTCGATGGGGAAGCGTGGATCCCTGCCTTTCATGCCAGCGTCGACGAAGAGTCGAGCGAACTTGTTGCCGAAGTCGATGTTGTCTGAGCAGCCGCCCCACTCCCAGTCCATACCTGCCAGGGCGAGGAGGAGGACGTCACGTTGCGAGGGAGATGTCACGGAGATGTGAGGTAGACATCACGAAGAGATGAGTAGTTTGAGTTAGGGTGGGATGTGTACTTTGAATTAGGGGTGCGTATTTTGAAGGAGGGATGAGTAGCTTTAGAGAGAATAGAGTGTTTGAGAGAGAGAGATTAGTTAATGGGATGGATGCATAGTTTATCAGGGGCATTGAGGTATAATACCTATGTGGATGCTAAACAGTTAACGAGCTCACCACCAGACGGAGGATCGAGCCTCTCACCATCCCGGGCTTAACTGTCAATAAATTCAGTGAATCCAAACAATATGTGATGTGAGGGCATTGACTTACCCGAGGGTCCCTTGGCACGGTAGTCACAGTTACAGGAATCGATGGTGCCCTCTGTGCACGCCCTGGTCACTGTGTGGGTCACTGCTGCAGAGGTCAGCGCGTACAAGAAGGCCACCTCTCGGCACGCTGTCAAGAAAGAGGTCAAGAGGTCAGGGGGGGGCAAATAGGTTTAGAGGTCAAATGCTATCAGGCTGGGGAAAGAGGTGTATCTGTGTGTGAGACACGAGTGTCAGGAGGTGGGTTGGTGTGACCGCTCTAACTCCTGGGCTACACGTCTCTCGACCAGTTAGAATACTTTTCACTTACCACAGGTTTCATAAGAACATAAGAACGAAGGAACACTGCAGAAGGCCTACTGGCCCATGCGAGGCAGGTCCAAGTCTCCTACCGGCTTAAGCCAATGCACCCAACCTAGTCAGGTCAGGTCACATTGACTTAAGGGAGGAACACGGCAACCGACCTGGTAGCACAAGCTATCAGGTCTAACTCACACCCACCCACATCTACTCATGTATTTATCCAACCTATTTTTAAATCTACACAACGTTCTGGCCTCTATAACGGTACTCGGGAGTTTGTTCCACTCATCCACAACTCTATTACCAAACCAGTACTTTCCTATATCCTTCCTGAATCTGAATTTTTCCAACTTAAAACCATTGCTGCGAGTCCTGTCTAGGCTAGATATTTTCAGCACACTATTTACATCCCCTTTATTTATTCCTGTCTTCCATTTATACACCTCAATCATATCCCCCCTAATTCTACGTCTTTCTAGAGAGTGCAGATTCAGGGCCCTTAGTCTATCCTCATAGGGAAGGTTTCTGATACATGGGATCAACTTTGTCATCCTCCTTTGTACATTTTCCAGAGAATTTATATCCATTCTGTAATACGGTGACCAAAACTGTGCAGCATAATCTAAATGAGGCCTAACCAAGGATATATAGAGTTGAAGAACAACCTGAGGACACTCCTATTATTTATGCTTCTTGATATGAAGCCAAGGATTCTATTAGCTTTATTGCGAACACTTATGCACTGTTGTCTTGGTTTCAGATTACTGCTAACCAGAACTCCTAAATCTTTTTCGCAATCCGTAATATTAAGATCTACATTATTTAGTTTATATGTGGCATGGTTATTGTCCTGTCCAACATTTAGAACTTTGCATTTGTCTATATTAAACTGCATCTGCCACTTCTCCGACCACTGCATCAGTCTATTCAAATCTTCCTGGAGTGCTCGAATGTCCTCGTCAGAATGAATTCGACGGCCTATTTTGGTGTCATCGGCAAACTTGCCGATGTCGCTCTTTATGCCCTCATCTATGTCGTTTATGTAGATTGTGAACAGCAGGGGGCCCAACACTGACCCCTGTGGAACACCGCTCGTGACGCTTCCCCACTCTGATTTCTCCCCATTTATGCAAACTCTCTGCTGCCTATTTATCAACCATGCCTCTATCCAGGAAAAAATTTCTCCTCCTATTCCATGTGCTTTAATTTTCCTCAATAGTCTCTGATGTGGGACCCTGTCAAAAGCCTTACTGAAGTCCATATACACAATATCATTTTCATTACCATGATCTACCTCCTCAAATACCTTAGTGAAAAAAAGTTAATAAATTCGTAAGGCAGGAACGCCCCTTTGTAAAACCATGCTGAGATTCGTTGATTAATTTATGCTTTTCAAGGTGGCTACGAACTGCCTCGGCAATTATTGATTCCATAAATTTTCCCACTATGGAGGTTAGGCTTATTGGTCTATAGTTCGAAGCTAAGGACCTGTCACCTGTTTTGAAAATAGGTATCACATTTGCCATTTTCCACTTATCTGGCACCATGCCAGTTTGTAGTGATATGTTGAAAAGATTAGCCAAAGGTGTGCTAAGCTCCTCTTTACATTCCTTTAGAACCCTTGCATACAGTTCATCAGGGCGAAACGTATTGTAATAATTCGCCTTGTTGGGGGTAGAGCTCCTGGACCGTTGTGACTGTAGCTAAGGTTTTGGATAGTTATGACTGGACCCTAGCTCCTGGTCCAGACTCCTCGGAGAGGAGCCTGAACGGAACTATCTGATTATACAGCTGTCTAGCAGATATTTGCGGTCTAACTCACATCTGCTGGACCGTAATTAACACTACGCTACCTTACTCAGAGAACACTTCACCTCATTCCTCCTGTTGCTGTTCTTGCAACATTACATAGCTCCTGATGACGCACGGAGATGTGTGAAAGTACTTGAGCTGAAGATTTCCATACTCCGTGGCTTGTCTTGCATATGTATATATATATATATATATATATATATATATATATATATATATATATTATATATATATAAGTGTGTGTGTGTGTGTGTGTGTGTGTATGTGTGTGTATATATATGTGTGTGTGTGTGTGTGTGTGTGTGTGTGTGTGTGTGTGTGCGTGTAAACCCTGTTTATCCCTGGTCACATCATCCCAGCAGAGTAAGCAGGAACCGCCTTCTCCATGATCCCTATTTACTGCCTCGTCGAAATCTCCATCTCCTGAGAGGGGAGTCCATGTTTTATGCGTGTTGATGCCTCGACCCAGCCTCTCAGCTGCTGTAATGACCGCTGTTATTGATTATTGATGCCGCTTTAGCAGTCATAGTGCATTCCTGGGTGCTGGGGACACAGAGGTGGGGAAGGGAGTAGGTGGTGGAGGGGAAGGGAGAGGAAGAATGACTGTGGGTGGTGGGGAAGAGATGGAAGGTTTGTGTGCGCGGGCGTGTGTGTGTGTGTGTGTGTGTGTGTGTGTGTGTGTGTGTGTGTGTGTGTGTGTGTGTGTGTGTGTGTGTGTGTGTGTATTTCGTAAATACGCATGTGTGTACTGTTAAACCAGGGGAGGGAGGGAGTCCCTCCCCTCCTTCCCTCTACCCGTCTCTCCCTCGCAGCATCAATCTCGCGTCACAGATGAGGTGAGATAAGCTGCCAGTGTTTTCCCACACATTCTACCATCACTTGTTATCATATCTGGCTGGACCTGATTCCAGCCATAGTGGCCAACGTTCCTCCCACATGCTTGACCAATACCTCAGGTGGAGGCCAGGAGGAGGACCACGAGCACCAGGAAGAGGACCAAGAGCACCAGGAGGAGGACCACGAGCACCAGGAGGAGGACCACGAGCACCAGGAGGAAGACCACGAGCACCAGGAGGAGGACCACGAGCACCAGGAGGAGTACCACGAGCACCAGGAGGAAGACCACGAGCACCAGGAGGAGGACCACGAGCACCAGGAGGAGTACTACGAGCACCAGGAGGAGGACCACGAGCACCAGAAGGAGGACCACGAGCACCAGGAGGAGGACCACGATCACCAGGATGAGTACCACGAGCACCAGGAGGAGTACCACGATCACCAGGAGGAGGACCACGAGCACTAGGAGGAGGACCACGAGCACCAGGAGGAGGACCACGATCACTAGGAGGAGGACAACAGTCACCAGGAGGAGGACCACGATCACCAGGAGGAGGACCACGAGCACCAGGAGGAGGACCATGATCACCAGGAGGAGGACCACGAGCACCAGGAGGAGGACCACGATCACCAGGAGGAGGACCACGATCACCAGGTGGACCACGATCACCAGGAGGAGGACCACGATCACCAGGAGGAGGACCACGATCACCAGGAGGAGGACCACGATCACCAGGAGGACCACGATCACCAGGAGGACCACGATCACCAGGAGGAGGACCACGATCACCAGGAGGACGACCACGATCACCAGGAGGACCACGATCAACAGGAGGACCACGATCACCAGGAGGTGGACCACGATCACCAGGAGTAGGACCACGATCACCAGGAGGAGGACCACGATCACCAGGAGGAGGACCACGATCACCAGGAAGAGGACCACGATCACCAGGAGGACCACGATCACCAGGAGGAGGACCACGATCACCAGGAGGACCACGATCACCAAGAGGACCACGATCACCAGGAGGACCACGATCACCAGGAGGACCACGATCACCAGGAGAAGGACCACGATCACCAGGAGAAGGACCACGATCACCAGGAGGAGGACCACGATCACCAGGAGGAGGACCACGATCACCAGGAGGACCACGATCACCAGGAGGAGGACCACGATCACCAGGAGGAGGACCACGATCACCAGGAGGACCACGATCACCAGGAGGACCACGATCACCAGGAGGACCACGATCACCAGGAGGAGGACCACGATCACTAGGAGGAGGACCACGATCACTAGGAGGACCACGATCACCAGGAGGACCACGATCACCAGGAGGACCACGATCACCAGGAGGACCACGATCACTAGGAGGAGGACCACGATCACCAGGAGGACCACGATCACCAGGAGGACCACGATCACCAGGAGGAGGACCACGATCACCAGGAGGACCACGATCACCAGGAGGAGGACCACGATCACCAGGAGGAGGACCACGATCACCAGGAGGAGGACCACGATCACCAGGAGGAGGACCACGATCACTAGGAGGACCACGATCACCAGGAGGAGGACCACGATCACCAGGAGGAGGACCACGATCACCAGGAGGACGACCACGATCACCAGGAAGACGACCACGATCACCAGGAGGACCACGATCACCAGGAGGACCACGATCACCAGGAGGACCACGATCACCAGGAGGACCACGATCACCAGGAGAAGGACCACGATCACCAGGAGAAGGACCACGATCACCAGGACCACGATCACCAGGAGGAGGACCACGATCACCAGGAGGACCACGATCACCAGGAGGACCACGATCACCAGGAGGACCACGATCACCAGGAGGAGGACCACGATCACCAGGAGGACCACGATCACCAGGAGGAGGACCACGATCACCAGGAGGACCACGATCACCAGGAGGACCACGATCACCAGGAGAAGGACCACGATCACCAGAAGGACCACGATCAATAGGAGGACTACGATCACCAGGAGGACCACGATCACCAGGAGGACCACGATCACCAGGAGGGGGACCACGATCACCAGGAGGACCACGATCACCAGGAGGACCACGATCACCAGGAGGACCACGATCACCAGGAGGATGACCACGATCACCAGGAGGAGGACCACGATCACCAGGAGGACCACGATCACCAGGAGGTGGACCAC